CGTCCCTGCTCTCACCGTCACTGCCTCACTGTCCCGATCTCACCGTCACTGCCTCACCGACCCCGCTCTCACTGCCGAACCGGCCCCGCTCTCACCGTCACTGCCTCACCGGCCCCGATCTCACCGTCACTGCCTCACTGTCCCGATCTCACCGCCGAACCGGCCCACTCTTGATCTGCCACAATCGCTCCGGCCCATGCTAAATCCGTCGTTGCCGCAGGACACGGCCTGTGCATTCAGTTCCCACCATGTGGTTCCCCGTCATGATCCGACTCCTTACATAGCTAGTTAAAAGGTCTGGGGGTGAGGGGGCGATAGAATACTGCAAAGAGGAGAGAGAGGAAGAAAAGAAAAGAAAGAAAAAAGGAAAGGGAACTAGCGAGCAGAGTGGAGCTCTGAAGAAAGTGACTTCTCCTGCCACTATCTTGCCGGAGATGTCATTCTTCCATGTTAAACATTAGTGCTAAGTGTTCCTCTTTTATATTGTAATGCAATCTCTGATCACATTCCACATCAATACATTGTATTAGCTGCTAGGAAAGGATGAGAATATATTATAGATTGTGAAAATTTGCACTGAAAGAAATTGTAACTGGAAGAACATTGCAATTTTGAACACATTGCATATTAGAATAAAAAATTTTGAAAATTTGTGCACCAGTTTGAAGTATACAATGGAACATGCCAGTAGGGAGATCTTCCAGCCTACTGTACCATTTGATCACAGAGTCATAGAGCTGTACAGCACGGAAGCAGACCCTTTGATCCAACTCGTCCATGCCGACCAGATATCCTAAATTAATCTAGTCCCATTTGCCAGCATTTGGCCCATATCCCTCTAAACCCTTCCAATTCATACACTCATCCAGATGCCTTTTAAATGTTGCAATTGTACCAGTTTCCACCACTTCCTCTGGCAGCTCATTCCGTACATGTACCCTCTGCGTGAAAAAGTTGTCCCTTCGATCCCTTTTAAATCTTTCCCCGCTAACCTTGGTGCGGCTAACATCAGTGGTGGGTAAGTTGTTGGAGGAGATTCTGAGGGACAAGGTTTACATGTATTTGGAAAGGCAAGGGCTGATTACGGATAGTCAACATGGGTTTGTGTGTGGGAAATCATGTCTCACGAACTTGATTGAGTTTTTTGAATAAGTGATGAAGAGGACTGATGAAGGCAGAGTGATGGATGTTGTCTATATGGACTTCACTAAGGCGTTTGACAAGGTTCTGCATGATAGACTAGTTAACAAGGTTAGGTCGCATGGAAAACAGAGAAAACTAGCCATGTGGATAGAAAATTGACTAGAAGGTAGGAGACAGAGTGTGGTGGTAGAAGAATTCTATTCTGTTCCGAGGAAGGGTCACCGGACCCGAAACATTAACTCTGATTTTTTCTTCACAGATGTTGCCAGACCTGCTGAGCTTTTCCAGCAACTTCTATTTTTGTTCCTGGTGGTGGTAGAGGGTAGCTTTTCGGACTGGAGGCCTGTGACCAGCAGTGTGCCATAGGGAACAGTGCTGGGTTCACTGGTTTTTTCTAACTATATAAATGATTTGGATGTGAATATAGGAGGAATGGTTAGTAAGTTTGCAGATGATCAGTTCAAGATTTTTCTGATTGTGCCTCAACTCTAGTTGTTTACTCACCATACCTTTCGATTCCCTTGTTAAGCAAGCATGTATCTAATTTAGCCTTAAAAATGTTCAATGATCCTATGTCCTCTGATAGAAAATTCCACAGACTAGAATCCCCTGAGTAAAAAATATCTTTCCTTACCACCATCGTAAATGGGCAACCCTTATTTTTAAACAGTGTCCCTTACTTCTAGTCTCTCCCCCAAGGAGAAAAGTCCTCACAGTAGCCAACCTATCAAGTCCTCTCAGGATCCTATATGTTTCAATAAAACCACGTCACATTCTGCTAACCTCCAAATGGATCCAGGCACCAACTGTCCAACCTTTCCTCGTCGTACAATCTCTTCATCCCAAGAATTAGTCTGTACAGATTGTAATGTGATCAGCCAGGTAGACCTCATAGGATATGAAATAAAAACAGAAACAACTGCGGATGCTGTGAATCAGGAACAAAACAAAGTTGCTCGAAAAGCTCAGCAGGTCTGGCAGCATCTGTGAAGGAAAAAACAGAGTTAACATTTTGGGTCCGGTGAGGGTTGGGTTCTGAGGAAGGGTCACCGGACCCGAAATGTTAACTCTGTTTTTGTCCTTCACAGATGCTGCCAGACCTGCTGGGCTTTTCCAGCAACTTTGTTTTTGCTCATAGAATATGAGTTCCCTGATTGGGGCTGTTAATCTGGTCCAATCAGGGAGCCCTGGTTGAGATGTAAAAGGGAGAGTGTCAGAGAGGCTGACACTCTGATAGCTGACTCTGAATATGGCAGTACTAAAGTCAAGGATTGTTCATGTGTAAATAAAGGGTGACTTGGAGACAGATACTGGCCTCTGTGGAATTATTTCATCGTTGAGTGAACAAATATTAATTAGCAGCCATAAGTTGAATTGCTTCACAACCCAAGAATGAAATGGTATTTTGAGCACAAAGACTTGACCCTCAGGGCATAGTGTAAGGAAGCAGCACTCATGTAAAATCTCATCAGAGATTAGACACTGGAATGAACTATTGCCGAAAATTATGTTTCTCTTTCCCCTGTTATTTTCTACAATGGAATTACTGCTGATCGCACATCTTCCAGCTGCATGTGCACTAAATGCCACTGTGTGGACCAATTACATAACTGCTCCTGAAGCCTTTGTGCACTGGATTTATCTGTTGCTTCTTTTGAAATTGTTCATGATATCAGTTTGATAAAGTTTCCTGTTTTACTGTTAACATGAGACACGAGACAAAGATGGCTATCTACATGGCATTAGATTGGAGGTCAGCCAAGATCTCACTGAATGTCAGAACAGACTCAAGGGGCTAACTTAAACACCCTCGTTCCTCAGTTCCTATTAAGTTTAACACGTTTCATTACAGATAAAAATTTTAGTACAGTAGCTTTTCATTCCAAGGTCAGTGCTGTATTATTAGTTTATATGTTGCACATATTCTTAATAGCCCAACTGACAACACATAGCTCATGAAATATAACCAAGGACTTTTTTAAATCTCTGACACACAATGCTGAAGCCCAGCGCGAGTCAACTTTACTATATATTATGCACAGTTTTACAGTCTTTTCTTGTCATGTTCCCTCCTTTCTTGACCTATATGACAAAGTGACTGAATAATATTCTATTGATGATGATAGACCTCCTTACCAATTGCTCACAGTTTACCTCATGGTAGTCAAAAGCGAAATAGAATTGAGTGTGTTTTCTACACAGAGAAAGAAGGCCAAATACAAAATCTAGAACATCATTTTGGCATCAGAAAAACTAGCTTCCTGTCGTCTGTGCCCAAAGTCAGAAGTCACACGACACCAGGTAATAGCCCAACAAGTTTATTTGAAATCACAAGCTTTCAGAGCGTAGCCCTTT